GGGAGGGGGATTTGGGGCGCGGGTGGGAGTCAGGAACTTTGAACGGGGCCGGCGAGGCGGAGAAGCCCGTTCCAAAGGATTCGGCTTGGAACCTTCAGCAGCCTCGCATAGGGATTGAGGGAAAGACGGCTGTTCAAAGTGACAGCGAACACCTGCTGCGGCAAACCGATGTAAGTTCGAGGAAGGGCTGCACCTTCCACGGCGTCCGCATCTTGCTACGCGATGCAACTGCATAGTGCCAAAAAAAGGGGGGGGGGGCAGATAAAGAGGGCAAAATCTGACGCCTGAACCGAGAACCTGAATCACAAGCGTATGACATTTAAAGCCCTCAACCGCGACAGCCGCGTGGGAAAAGTTAACACGGCGGGTAGGCTGCGACGCTCCCGGGGAGCACACCCAGGCTGAGAGCCCAGCCCCTCCGCGCAGAGCCCGCCCCCACCGTGAGAACCGGAAGCGCTCGGGCCGACCCGGAAGTAGTGCTGACTTCTTACACGTGAGTGGCAGCATGGCGGCTCACCGCTCTGGCCCGCTGAAGCAGCAGAATAAGGCTCATAAAGGCGGGCGGCATCGGGGTCGGGGGTCCGCTCAACGAGATGGCAAGGGTGAGTAGAGAGGGGAGGAAGAAGAGTTGGCTGCTGAGCCGAGGTGAACGGATTTTCCCCGTTCTGAAACCGAGCTCCCATCTCTGGCCTGGGCCCTAAATTCCAAGTCCCCATTTTTGACTTTCTTTTGGTGCCCAGCACAGACTCCCTTTCTGATCTGCACTCCAGGCCGACTCGCAGTGAAAGCTCTAAGCAAGAAAGTGAGAAGAGAGCTCAGCCGAGTCGATCAGAGGCATCGGGCCAACCAGCTCCGGAAGCAGAAGAAAGAGGCGGTGAGAGGAGCGGGAGGCGGGGAATGGCGTGGCTTTTCAACCGTTTGGGGCGGGTGAGGACTCGAACTAGTAGATGAGACCTTGGGGGTGGCGGGGAGGGAAGAATCTTAGCGCACACGTGTGGTGTTTGCCTCTAGAGCTAGGGCATCTTCAAGTTTGATCCCAGTCCCTGCCACTCACAAGGTGAAACTGGTTAGGGGGCGCTTCTGTGCTGTTGGAAATGAAATACTGGAAGGACCCACCGAGATACTGAACCTTTCCGTCTCTAGGTTCTGGCGGAGAAGAGACAGCTGGGCAGCAAGGATGGCGCTCCCCATCACGTGCTGGTGGTACCTTTGCACGACAAGGTTTCCCTTCCAGAGGCCCTTGGTCTACTTCAGGAGAGCGACACTGGAACGGTACACCCAAGTGAATGGGGAAGCACCCACAGTTTTATGCTGCTGTGTCCCCGGTTGAAACATCGGTGGTTCTTTACATCGGCAAAACCAGGTTAGGGTGCTGTCTGCTTTCTGCCATCATTGCTTAAATAGTAGTTGTTTTTGTTTTGCTTTGAAGTTCAAGTGCAGCCAGCCACCTCTCACTGACTTGTTCTATCTCTAGGGGATCTGCACACACTGTTGGACATGGCTAAAGTGGCTGATACCATCCTGTTCCTCCTGGATTCACAAGACGGCTGGGACAGCACTGGGGATTACTGCCTTTCTTGCCTCTTTGCTCAGGGGCTTCCCACCTATAGTAAGTGAGTTAGGGAATATTGGAGGGCATGGAATGATAGGAATGTTTCTTCTCTCTCTCTTTTCTTTCTTTTTCTTTCGAACACCTATTATCTGCCAGGACTCTGCCTAGCACTTGATACAGGGACACCCTGAAAACTGCTCGTAGTAGGTTGTATGTGCGAGGGGGCCTCAAAAATTTGTGGGAAAATTCCATTATCTTTTCATTTCGTTTTTTCCAGTGCTCCCTCTTATTTTCAGGCTGTCCTTTGCTCAGATGAGGTTCGGTTTCATTGTGAAATGTCTGTAGGGTTGCCGGCTGTTGGGTCGCCCTTGGTGAACTGCACGAGGACTGTCTTGTCATAACAGTGAAGCGCTCGACCACTAAGCTCCTTTTCTTTCTCTCACAGCACTGGCTGTCCAAGGAGTTTCTGGACTTCCACCAAAGAAGCAACTAGATGCCAGAAAGAAGCTAAGTAAAGCAGTGGAGAAGCGCTTTCCTGATGACAAACTCCTCCTGTTAGACTCTCAGCAAGAGGCAGGGCTGCTGCTCAGGCAGTTGGCTAACCAAAAGCAACGTCATCTTGCCTTTCGGGACCGGCGGGCCTACCTGTTTGCCCACTCGACTGACTTTGTGCCCAGTGAGGAAAATCATTTGGTTGGCACTTTGAAAGTCTCCGGCTATGTTCGAGGGCAGGCCCTAAATGTGAATAGCTTGCTGCACATCATTGGACATGGAGATTTCCAGATGAAACAGATAGATGCTCCTGTGGACCCTTTTCCCTTAAATCCTAGAGTACTTAAATCCCAAAAAGACCCACACATGGCAATGGAGGTAAGATTGGTGTTCTTGAAAAGCATATATTGTGGATTCTTACATGAGCTGATACAGAAGGGAACTAAGAAAAGGTGGGCTGTACACTTGGGTCAATGGAGGCTCTTGCTAGTTGGGAGTAAGGCAATAGTTAACTACAAATATGTCCATAAATAAACTATCCAGTATTTTCTGGTGCCCTAGACTTTAATTGGCTGTAAGTTAATAGAACACATGGGGTCACTTCCCTAAAAAGTGGCACACCCATGGAACAAAGATGAGATAGTATGTGGGTAAGGTCCTGACCGGTTAAGGAAGTTGAGAAAGTAGACCAGCAAGCTTTCATCAGGCTTCAGCCCGGTGTTGAACAGGGTGAACAACTGAAGAGAGGTGAAAGACTATCTCAGACGATGAGGCTGAAGTCACCTTGGCACAATTGTGCATGAGAGGATCTCTTTGAACTCTGAAGAAATCAGTATAAGAGTGACTTGATTTGAGTAGGAGAAGGGGGCAGGTTATGAAAGGCTTCAGAAACTTTTTTTTTTTTAGCAAAACCCCAGAACTGTGCCATCGTGTCCGTTCTGACTCCTAGAGACCCTATGGACAGGGTAGAGCTGCACTTAGAGGTTGCTGAGGCTGTAAATATTTATACCAGAACACTTCATCTCACCCAAACTGCTGCTCTGGGGTTAGCAGACCAACATGTAACATGCAATGTTAGCAGGGCTCTGTGAAGCTTTTGAATAGAGACATAAACACTAGGAAAGAGTCACTGGAAATATTTTGACACGGTTTGGTGATTTGTTTTTCTACGTGAGCACTCCCTCTAGTGTAGAGCTTTTGGGTTCTGGGGTGAAATCGTCCTAGGTTTGGGGTTCATTCTTGGCCGACCCTCAGCTGCGTTTGCTTTTCAGGTTTCTGCTACAGATGCTGTGGTTGAAATGGAGGAAGACCTTAAGGTTCTAATGAAAGCCGACCCGGACCGACAGGAATCTTTGCAATCCGAGGTTATCCCGGATCCAATGGAGGGAGAGCAGACCTGGCCCACCGAGGAGGAGCTGAGTGAGGCAAATGGTTGGTATTGGCTAACTTGTTGGTAGTTCTTCCAGCCTGGAATTGTGGCTTTGGTTCAGTTTACAACAAAGACCTTATAACTTAGAGTTGGATGAGGAGATACTTACTGCTTTGTTTGCAGTAAACATTGAACACCGTTTTGCTCCCTTTTTTCCCCTTCAGAATTAACCTGTTCTTGTTTTGGAATGAATCGATAAAACAATTTTGGAATTATATCATGGTTTATTGTAGCTGTGTGGGTATGGTTTGTTTTGAAGCTAGTGAATTAAATTTGGGAGTCGTTCTACCATAGTGGTGGCTAGACTGGTGTTGGCAGCAATATAGGTAGCCACTGCATTTTGGAAATTTGCTTCACACTGCTTGGCTTTTATGAAAGACCTACATTAGTGTTTGTTTTTACTGGCCAGAAGGAGAGCCAAAACTAGCATTCAGTGTTTGTTTTGCAGCGGTGAGAGTGGCATCACCAAGCCTTCTCTGGAAACTGCTGTACAGACATTATTTCTTCTCTATACAGGCTGTGTATTTATCATTCCATTCCTACTTTTACTATGTGCTAGTGTTAGTTTATATGTTATTTGGTATGGTTTGCTAAGTTGATTTTTGGGTCTGGGAAAGCTCAAAATTTTTCCTATATTGAATGATATGCCAATAAAGCAGTTTAACACCTAAAAACGAATGGTAATTATTTTATGCCACTGCAGCTTATACATTGTTTCATAAGAATGCGTTACTCTGAGATAGCAGCGGAAACCTACACTTAGTTCTTGCCTCGGTAAGGATACCAGGAGTAAGTGGAGAGAGGAGGTATGTAATTTACTTAACTAGTTTAGTCTTTTGCAGGCGTACCGAAGGAAGGTTCCAAGGTGGTGAAGAAGGTCCCCAAAGGCACATCCAGTTACCAAGCTGAGTGGATTTTGGATGAAGACGGTGAAAGTGGTGGGGAAGGAGATGACTACGATGATGATCTGGAGCGGGAGGATTTCATGGATGAGGAATCCCAGGTGAAGAAAGGGGCCCTCGGGCCACTCTGTGAACGGGCCCCAAATGCAAGACAAAGAACAAAGCTGATCCGGAAGGGGGTGGGGAGTGGGGTGCATGGGTGGGAGTAGAGTGGCCATTAGTTCTGAGCAATGGCTGTAATTGCTAAGAATGAAACATCTGTTTTATAATTTCACATACGCTAGAACGGGTGTTGGTTGAAACTCTAGTAAAAGTGCTTTATCCTTTGCTTAAAACCTTTGGGTAGAGGCAAGTATGGGTTTCCTTTAAACTAAAGCTAATTCAAAATTCTACAGGATGGGAGTAGTGAAGAGGAAGAGGAGGAGGAATGTGAAACTATGACTATAGGCGAGTCTGTGAGGGATGATCTGTATGATGAGAAAGTGGATGAAGAGTCTGAGGAACAAATGTTGGAGAAATATAAACAAGAAAGACTCGAAGAGATGTTTCCAGATGAAATGGACACCCCTCGAGACGTGGCCGCTAGAGTTCGGTTAGTCAATGAGTCTGTGTCTGATCAGTCCATTTTTATTTAAAACTTACGTGGCTCAGACTATGTCCATGTGATGCTAGACAAGAAAAACACATGGTCCCTGCCCCTTAAGGACTAACATTATAGAGAGGAAGGCAAGACGTACATATCAGAAAAACCAATTATAACCAAGTTCTAGGTTGTGTGGTAGACTTATAATGGTACAGGGCTTCAGTGAAGGGAAAATATTAGAATGAAGTAGCAAATGATTCCTGTCGGAGTTAATACCCAATTAAAGTCTAATGCTTGGAGGTTTGTGGGGAGGAGAGTTGGTAGAATAGCAAGAGTAGAGACACATGAAGATGCAGATGATCACGTCTGCCCTGAAGATGAGTCTGACCAATGCCAGTGTTTGACTGGCTATTAGAGAGGTAGGGCTTTGCTCAAAGTTCTTGTTTAGCAAGTTAGAGAGCCACTCCATGGGCAGCAGTAGGGAATCACTATAAATACTTATCCATCAGTAGTGAGAATCTTGCATTTGGGTCTGAAATGCTTGTTACAATTTTGAGAAGTAGCCTTGGTGTGGATGTTGGGTTATCTTGAGAGATGGCGAGTAGAGCCCTTTTAAGGTACGTAGTGCCTTAGCCGTTGTAGAAGTGATTGAGGACAAGGGTAAAGGAGCGTCATAGAAATGTTGACTTGTTAATTTCTTTAAAACCTGTGTTCTAGGTTTCAGAAGTACCGAGGCCTCAAGAGCTTCCGGACATCTCCGTGGGACCCTAAGGAAAACCTTCCTCTTGACTATGCACGGATCTTTCAGTTCCAGAATTTCACTCACACTAGAAGACGCATCTTTAAAGAGATTGAGGAAAAAGAGGTTGAAGGAGCTGAGGTATCTCCTGCCTTGTCCATCTCTGTCACTGGGGGCCCTTGATTTACTCCTCCTGGCATGAGAACGACTATCTTCGTTCGTTCTGTGTTGCCCATAGCTGGGTTAGGGGAGCCACTGAGCCATTGATGGAGTGGTGGCGGGGAACAAGAGGTACCAGGGACGTTAAGTGAAAGGCATTCTGCAGGGAAAGAGGCGACTTCCGGAACACGTTTGTAGAGAACATCTGCTTCCTCCTCACTGGAACCTTGAGGCTAACCCTGCACTTGTTTTCTGCTTTCTTCTGGCAGGTTGGCTGGTATGTCACACTGCATGTCTCCGAAGTCCCTCTACCTGTGGTTGAATACTTCAGGCAAGGAGCACCCTTGATTGCGTTTTCCCTGCTACCTCATGAACAGAAGGTCAGATGATGTCTTGTGGGAAAATGGGATCCTGGCACTCTCCTACCAGTTGTTTTGGCTTAGTTTAAATTCTGTTTCTGAGACTGGCTCTCTGCTCCTTGGCATGCAAACGTTCCCGCCTTTCGAATGAGAAGTCAGAGAGTAGTAGAGAAGTCAGTGATGGTTTTACCCAGAATGTCTGAACCTGTCTGAAGCATCTCAGTGATGCGGCCTCTGTGGTGCTGAGACTTCTCTGATAGGTAGGTATTGAGATTTTGAGACAGATAGAGCAGATTTTGAGTAACAGTTGGCAGCCTTAAAAACAAAGGGCTTATGTCAAGGGTGCAGTTTCTTTTCTCCTGGTCAGGAGTCACGTAGGTTAGGGTGTGTGTGAAAACCTGACCTTTGAAGGAGGGCGGGGGAAACAAACACAGAAATAAATAATTAAAAACCAACAACAACAACAAAAAAACCCTGACCTTTGGATGGTATAGGTAAGGGTTGGGGAAGAATAAACTTGAATATGGCTTGAGGTATGTGATGAGTCATGACTTGAAGGCCGCTGACTGGCCAATCTATGGCTTGACTACTGTTTGCTGCTGGAGGTAAAGGAAGAATCAGTGGCGCATCATGGACACACGGCCATGTTAGCCATGGCAGTCCCTAGAGGGAAGGTGAGCCGGCCAGCTGGTTAGACTGTTAGGCTGCATCCCAGACTGTGACGTTGTTTTCCTCCTTTGGTCTCCAGATGTCAGTCTTGAATATGGTGGTGAGTCGACACCCCGGCCACAAGGAGCCTGTGAAAGCCAAAGAGGAGCTGATCTTCCACTGTGGGTTCAGGCGCTTCCGAGCCTCACCCTTATTCTCTCAGCACACTGCGGGTTAGTAGTTGGGAAACAGGCTGGGTTCTTATCTACTGTCTTGTCTTTTGGGGGGACTATAAGTCTACATTAACTGTGTGTGTGCGCGTGCTAGCACAGTCCGCTTCACACGCTAGTTCTTGGATTAAAGGACTTTTTAGTTCTCTGGCTTAGAAACCAGTGATGTTAATAACCAGAATGTCTGAACCTGTCTGAAGCATCCGAGTGATGCCATCGATATGGTGCTGAGGTTTCCTTGCCATGAGAATTTGTTCCAGAGGAGGCTTTGAGTAGGATCTGGCAGCTTTATAAAAGGGTGTGGTGGAAAGACTGGAACTCTGGCATCTGACATGCCAGTTGCAATGTTGACTGGCTGGAGGTTGGGTGTGGCCCACCATGGGGTAAATAGACAGGTGTAGGCTATGATATGCTGAGACTGGACAGGCGGCTAGGGGACATTTCTGTGGCACTAACTGCAGCCCTACACTTGGGAGTGGCAAGATTGCCCGCCCATTTGAGGGCTTGTGAATATCACCTGCACACAGTTTTCCACTCTGGCAGAACTGAGTAGTTGGAAGAGACTATGTATGATCCACGTACTTACTATCTGGATGTGAAAAAATCTGCCAACTTTGTACTCAAGAGCTGTTGAGAACTTTCAAACCCTGAGTACAGTCCACGCTCTGAGATTCTAGTTTTCACTGGAAAATCACTGATAGGATTCTCTTCATTGTATTGCAGCAGGAAAAAAAAAAGAACTAGTGGGGTAAACTAGGAGCTCTGGTAGCATAATGTGTTACGTGTTGGGCTGTTAATGGCAAGATCAGCAGTTCAAAACCACCAGCCTCTCCTCAGGAGAAAGAAAGCTCTTTCTATCCCTATAAAGAGTTAACCCTTTGGAAACCTCTATGGGGCAGTTCTTTGCTGTCCTATAGGGTCAGAGTCAGAATAGACTCGATATCAGTGAGTTAGTGGGGTAAAGAAACACAAACTACCTTAGGTTTAGAAGTTGTGATCTACTAACAAATGACTTCTGTTAACTCTCCTGGCAGCGGATAAGCATAAGTTTCAGAGATTCCTGCCTCCTGAGGGGGCCCTGGTGGCGACAGTGTATGCTCCGATCACGTTTCCACCTGCATCTGTGCTGCTTTTCAAACAGAACAGCAACGGTGAGTGGAGTTCACAGAGGTGACCAGGCCTGAAGAGCCTTAATAGGATCAGTACTGCTTTCTCTTCTTATGTAGATTTGGGAGCCAAATGGTAGGAAGACGTTATTATTTTCAGTGTACCTGAGTCTCAGCAGCTCAGTGGAGCTAAGGCAGGGGTGACAAAGGGCTTTCTTTTGCCTGAGAACTTTTGCTTATTGGCTAAGTGATCTTTTTCATGGATCCAGGAGGCTAGGCAATAAAGGGCATCCCTACTTTTATAGAGTTTCTCTTAAGAAAATCTTGCTCGGAATCATATAAATACAAGTGCCTTGCCCATTCCCGTGCTGGTAAAGAACTCAACTCTTTGGAAGCTGGAATCTGTGGCTGGGAGGCAATAGGAATTTTTCTTCAGAGCCTTGGGAGCCAGGCCGTCAGCATTGGCAGAGGCCTTTCGCTTCCTCTTCGCTGCTCTGGCTTCAGGATCGTGGACCTACCTCAATAGCTTTTGCGGCTTGTTCTTCTGTTTCAAATTCTACGAAAGCAAATCCCTTTGGGTCTCCAGTGGACTTGTCATGTGGAATACTTATGTAAACAACATTACCGCATTTCCCAAATACTCCTTCAGTCTAGCTGTGATTAACGTTTTGGGGAAGTAATTCCTATGATGAATAAAAAGTTAGTAACCAAAATGGAATAGACTTTAAATGTTAAAATGATAAAAAACAGTAAAAGAAAATCTTGCTCCAGATCAGTGTGTCCCAAAGTGGGCAGTAATCACCCCCAGTTGTGTGTGTGCTAGAAGAACCCAAGGGGCACCGAAGAACAGATACCAACACTTTATTTTGGATTATGGTACAAGTTTTTAATTACTAGGGGGCACTATTTATTTCTGAAAAGGGGGCCAAATAGTGGGGCCAGTACCCTAAACTAATGATTTGGCCTCGCCTGCTGAACAGTCGCTCTACTTTTGTCCTGTAGGCATGCACAGCCTCATTGCTACAGGCCATCTGTTGTCAGTGGATCCCGACCGAATGGTCATCAAACGGGTGGTTCTGAGTGGTCATCCTTTCAAAATCTTGACCAAGATGGCAGTAGTGCGTTACATGTTTTTCAGCAGAGGTAGGTAGAGGGGACCTGGTAGCCTGTGCGGGATGAGGTTGGGGGCCAACATTTCGTAAGTATTTCATCTTGGTCTTCTGCCATGTCTCCTTCTTAGAGGATGTTCTGTGGTTTAAGCCAGTGGAACTGAGAACAAAGTGGGGCCGTCGGGGACACATCAAGGAGCCTTTAGGTGAGAGAATGCAGGGTTCGGGACCTTGGCTAGTTTCCCAGTGCTACTAAGTTACTAGCAAGCTACAGGTGTTCGATTCTGACTAATTTGCTGTTTACTTTCTAGGTACTCATGGCCACATGAAGTGCACGTTTGATGGGAAGCTCAAATCTCAGGACACAGTATTGATGAACCTCTACAAACGAGTTTTCCCAAAATGGACTTATGATCCTTATGTGCCAGAACCAGTGCCTTGGGTGCAAAGCGAGGTTTCGACAGCAGTGCCTGAAGTGGATATGGAATAGCGGACTCAAGGGATTCGGTCTTGTTACTCGCAGTTGGTGATTTATGGACAGGAGGGCTTGCATGTTGTGATTGGGCAACATTGGCATCTTCTCCTTAAGCCTATAGGCCTGCTATGGCTTTTCTTGACCTCAGCAAGGTGTCTCAGTTAAATATGGCCACTTTTCTGTTGATAGTTCACCCCCGCCTCCCAAAAAAACCCTATTAAATTATTGAGAAATAGCAACTCTCAATTGGGATTTTAAAGATCTGTTTTAAGAGAAGACAAGAGATTTGACACCCACTGAGGGGAAAGCTTGTAAGTATCTATAGGGACACTGAAACCCGTCTTTTACATAAATTAAAAACAAACCGACTGATATGGAGCTGGCCTTTCAGCCTGCTTCACCCAAGTTAGGGACGCTAAGTCTACATTTCCGCCACTGAGCACAATACAAATGTTCTTTACTTCTGGGGACACGGCTTGAAAATGCGGAGACAGGACAGCAGCTACTCCCACACCCGCTGTAGGTTCAATGAGTAGTTTCATCCTCTCCCACACCAGCTGGGTTGCATGCTGTTGGCAGAGACAGGAGTAAGCATTCGTGAAATGGGGCAACGGCCTCGTGGCTCAGTGTTCAAGGCCAGCTGAAGATACATGCCCCAGCTGAATTTTCTTGTTGCTTGGTATGTTTCCCAGGGGAGAACAGGGCTTTTCTCTCCTCAGCTCTGCTTCTGTATTTAGGGTACCCCACACATGCCCTGAAGTTACCACCTAGACAAGACCCCAATAAGTTGGTTGTCCCCCCCCCCACCCCCCCAGCCTCACCTTAATCTCATCCTCTGTGACCGTGAAGACATCATCCACAAGGTCTCTTATGATAGGCCAGGTGTTTAGGCCAATGCTGGATTTAACACCATCGGCTATGGTTTCTGGAGAGTAAGGATTGGGGATCAGTTCCCCTTTCAACTTGGACTGGTAGCAGTCATCTGCATTCAAGGGTTCAGCAGCGTACACTTTCACACTAGGTCTCAGAGCCTAGGAAAGAGTAACAGTGGACATTCAGCAGCGAGCCAGAGTCGCCTACCAGCCCAAAGTAGTCTGCAGAGCTAACACATTTCAGCGCAGACCAAGCTTTTCCTCGGATGAATGTAATGAAAGTGAGACCTCGTCTCACCGGTTTAGCATGGGCATGGAGTTGCTTGTATCACGTTTGGTTCTACAGGTCATTTGGGGAAAGGTAGCCCTGGTTTGGGTAGCAGGGTGAGACGAGAGTCGGGAAAGGCACTGCTGGAGGACTGCTCACTGTAACGGCATTTGTGCAGTAAAGCCAATGTGGATTAAGAGGATATTGGGGGCAGAGAAGGGCCTCTGTTTCAAGTGCCAAGGATGGTGGGAAGGAACGGCATTGGGGGTCCCTACAGTGTACTACAATGTAAAATAAAACCCTTCTGCCAGAAGCAGAGTCCTCTGTGGGGTGTTTCCTCACCTTAACTGCAATCGCGATTCCAGCAACCATTCCTCCTCCCCCTACAGGGACTACCAGTGCATCCACCAACGGGACCTGCAGCAGAAAGAGAAGCCATTTGAGATGCACATGTAAAATCAATAGCCAAACATCAGGTAGGCAAGAGGGAAGAATTGACAGCTGCGTTACCTGGTTGAGCACTTCCAGGGCGATTGTCCCTTGGCCAGCTATCACCGTGGGCTCCTGGTTGGGATGTATCATGATGCCTTCTGTTTCCTTCAGAATTCTTTTGGTAACATTTTCTCTGGACTGAAAGAAAACACTAATTTGGTGCACTGGATTTGCATCTGATAGGATTTTAGCCGTCATTTCAGCCGTTTAAACCTATGTGGTCCACCTAGTATCTCCCAGCCTTTGCTCAGGTACTAGAGAGATGGCAGTGACGAAGACGCTCCTGGTCCTTGAGGGTGTTAGGTTCTAGTATGAGGGTAAGGAGTTGGGAGACTTGGGCGAGAAGGCAGTATTTGTTATGCCAGGTAAGTGCTCTGGAAAAAAAGATTTTATCTAGGGTGGTCAAGAAGGGCTATGGTAAATGCCATTTTAACAACTGGACAAGACCTGTGGCGCTCCAGAAGTCCATTGCAGAAAGGAGGTAACAGCAAGCGAGCGCACTGCTGAGTGACTGGTGTGGAGTGTGTGTGAGGAAAGATAGGAACAGGCTAGCTCCTCTAGGCCTTGGATGACTTTAAAACATCAACTTACATTGTGTGATGTGGGATACCATCGAAGGGTTCTGAGCTGACGAGAGAAGCTGCAATTTATGAGATGGGTCTTTCTGGTTGCCGTTTTGGAAATAGAACAGTAGGATGCGGTAGAAGCAAGGAAACAAGCTATTATAGTTCAATGCCCAATAAAGATGGTAATGGTAGAACGGTAAGTAGGCGAACTAGGGAAATATTTTGAGGGGACTAGCATTTGAATGTTACATGTGAGAATGATCAAAATGACAAAAGTTTTTTGGCTGGAGCAACTAGGATAAAGGTTGTTATTTACAGAGAGAAAATCAGGAATTTGGTTTTATACTAAATTTAAGATGTCTACGAGATATCCAGATAAGTATGTCAGCAAAAGGCTTCAAAAGTTTAAATCCATATTCCACACTTTAAAGCCCCCTGATACAAGTCTGGACTTGAGGGGTGAGATCACAGCTGGAGACAAATAGGGAATATAGGTGGTACTTTAAAGCAGGAGACTAAGAGCACTAGGGAGTGTAGATTAGGCTGAACATGCTAACATTTCAAGATGCTGGGCTGAAAAGGTACATACCAAAATGGTTTTGCTAGAGGCAGAAACAGTTCCCAAAGTTTTGACCTACTACCCCTTAAAAAATTTTTTTTTACTTGGTGCCCCCTGGCAATGAAAAGCTTTTGTATACTATAGCCCACAAATCCGGATAAAGCATAGGTATCTGCTTTTGCACCACCTCTCCCCTCATCACTGCAGCATCCCCGTGACCCCCACGCACTCTGGGAAACACTGATGTAGAGAAAACAAAGTAGGTCACCAGTAAGGAAGGAAGAGAAGTTGGTCAAATCAAAGGGGTTAGGTGGGAACTGGCATTTAGGGAATGTTGAAATGACCATTTCCTGCTTGTGCATAAAGAGCTGAAAAGATTCAACTCTTTTTTTTTGGCTCTTTACTCAGTGAGGCTAAATTGGTTTTGCATTGCAGTGGCCACTGGCCCCACCCCTAGCATTGGGTAACAGTTTTTTGGTGACCCCAGATAGGACTGTACTGATGACAGCCTCACCCAGACCCACTCAGTGTCCCAGATCGGAGGGTCTGAGGTATTCCATCTCCGGCCACGCTGGGGCTGTTACTCAAGGGGTGGAACTGTCTCCTGTTCCAGGTCTGGTGGTCTCAAAGGCATTTAGAGACAAAAGGGCTGCCACCATCAAAGAAAGGTTATACATCCTCGTGTATGTAGTGTAGGTACCAACACCAGATACACGTGGTCTGTGAGGTACTAAAAGGGGCCGAGAGTAAGCAGCTGAGGTTTCCTGGCCACGACCAGGCAGTAATCACGTATGAGGAGGCTGGCGCTAGAGTTTGCCTCAAGGAAAGTGGGTAATGGTCAGAGCTCTGGTGGAGCTTGCTGCCTTGAGGATGGCTTCGAATCACTGGTGTTACTTTGGGAATCCCATGGAAAAGTCTAGAAGATCTTTTGTAACGTCATGTCACAATCTTCATTAGGGATGGGAGAAGTGGATCTCTAAATTAGAAGCTCTTACAGCTTGGCTTGTATTGCACCCAGGAAAGAAAAAGGAAAGGAAACTTCCATGACTTGAAGGGATACCTTACAAGAAAAGAGGAAAAGCTATTAGGTGGTAACTGATCACTGTTTACCTCCTTACCTCGTCACTCTGTTCACTGTAAACTATAGAGGCTCCGTAGGCCTGTATTGCCAATTTCTTACAGTTGGGAGCTGTTTTGGGCACCACAATATAAGCAGGAATACCTGGGAGGAGAAAATATGCTTAGTTAGTGTGAGCCAAGCTCTCTTAGGATAGAAGCTTTTGTTCAGTTTGCTTGTAATCAGATAGGGACTCTGGGGAAATGTTTTGTTGGTTTTTTTTCTCACAGCTCTCTCTTCAGTACCCTGAGAAAGTAATCAAGTACCTTCCAATTTGGCAGCGTAGGTGAGAGCCTGGCCATGGTTCCCACTGCTGTGAGTAACCACCGCTTTGGGCTTCTTCCCTTCTGAAGTGGCAGGAATCAAGTCTCTGATTGCGTTCAGGGCACCACGGATCTGGAAACAGGACGGGACATTCGTCTGATTTGATATTTGAATTTTGAATCTCAAGCCAAGGCGCTTCTCTACATTTTCTCTAACACTGCACGTCTATCAGCAAATTGTGCCAACTCTTGTCTTCTAAGCATCTTCCTAGCTTACTTCAAAGCTCATCTGATTCTGCCTCAAGGCTTTCTCATCTGTATCTCATGACCTTTCAAACTGCAGACCCGGTTTCTAACTAAAAGCACCTATTGCCTCTATCACTGCTGTCACCACCCTAAATGGCTTGAGTTTCCCTTGCTACACGGTTAGTTCACACCCCTCTGCTCTACCACCATGTCTTTCCCTAATTCCAGGTCTGGCTAAAGGTAAGCATCCTGTAAAACTCAGGTCAAAGATCACCTAGGTTCAACTTCTTTGCTCTGCAGGCAGGAAAAAAGGCATGCCACTCTGCTCTTCCACTGCACTTAGTTTGTATCTCTTTTAAGACATTTTTCATCAACTTATTTGTTGTATCAGTCATCTTCCCTTCAATTGTGGATACAAGGTCTATTGTATACTTATCACAGTTATGGACATTCTAGGTGCTTAAGGGTTGATGGAGTAAATGGAGAATAAACCACATCAGAAGCAAAGGGCAAAAGAGAATGGAGGGTTTATTTCATTTATTGGGCATAGAAAAAGGCAGAATCTTGTTCTAAAGCTACCACTTAACAAGTGCCTAATCCTTGCCTTCAGGGGAGCCCTGGTGGCATAATGGGTTATTCGTTGGGCTGCCTGTAAGGTCAGAAGTTCGAAACCACCATCCACTTCCTGGGAGAAAGAGGAAGCTTTCTACTCCCATAAAGAGCCACAATCTTGGAAACCAACAGGGGCAGTTTTACCCTGTCCTACATGAGTCAGAATAAAGTTGAGGGCAGTGAGTGAGAATCCCGGTTTTCAGTGTCTTACCTGAAAAGAATTTCAAGCTCAACTAAAAGAAGATTCTGGTAACATGTCAACACATGGTGCTTTTAAGCATAGACAGGCACTGGTATGCTTTGTAAAAAACGAGCTTATGAGGGTTTAGCTAGGCTTAGCTCTTTAAAGTCTTAATAAGGTATCAATGCCGAGCAAGCCGACAGGTGTAGGTGCTTAGTTTGGTTATGTGTAAGCCTGATCACGCTTTTCTGCCTGCACCAGTTAGTTGATGTGTGATCTCAGGCTAAACATTAGAAGTTCCCCCCTTTCATTCTCAAGCATAATGTAGTTTGTATAATAAATTGTATGGCTACCCTAATCACGGGATTTTTAGATTGTATTAAAGTGGATCATCAGAACCACAAGGCAATCAGGATTTGATCAAAGGATCATTTCCACAACTTTCTTCAACTAAAAAAGGTATTAATTTACTCCTATCTACTTTACCGGATCACCAGGAGGCTTGAACAAGTTTATATGTAAAAGAAGATTGAAAAAATACATATACTGAAAATGAATTATTACCTTAAACGATCCCGTTTTCTGAAAGAGTTCACATTTGAAGAAAAGATTGCGCCCTGCTACTTGATTCAAAATGGAGCTCGTTAAGACTGGTGTAAGGTGGATAAAATCTTCAATGTTAGCACGAGCTTTTTCAACATCAGCAAAGGAGATGCAGTACTGAGCACACATGGTTCTGAAACCCAGGAATAGAAAGAGCCTAGATCAAAGTCGGAAAAAGGAGTATGGAAACATTTTCATACTGTAACACTACAGAACTGGGGGCTCTGGTATTAACGTGGGAACTGCCTCCATCATTAGGGGGCTCCATGTCTGTGGTCAAGGTCAATTTCTGTGTCTGGCAGCATAATGTAAGCTTTTCAGGAAGTGATTGATGGTTACCCACTGCCTGCCCTCCCTTGTACCATCTCTTGGCACTGAAACTGGCCTCCCCTTGCTTTTTATTGTTGTGAAGCTGCTTGAATAATTGGGTTCAAAATCTGCCACACATTTAAAAGAGTATTTAATAACAAAGAAATTATTTAACTGCCCCCACCAAATCATCCACAATCATACTATCTTAGTGAATGCTCATGTTTTCTATTTTCTTTTCAACACATACGCGTTAAAATCAGAGCAGTCTGTTCTTAGCATTTATATAAACATTTGCTCAGTTTCATTGTTTAACAATTTAAACAATGAACTACATTACTTTCATTTTTCCACTCTTTACTGTAGCACTTAAAAAATGACATTTCAAAAACAAGACATTTCTCTTCAATTTGCCTTATAAAACCAATACACGTTCAATAATGTTTTTTCATTTAGTAAATAGCAATGCAAAAAGAAATTTAAAAGCAACCACTAAAACATCTTAATCAAAGTCAATTTGAACTAGGCTTTTTGATGGTCTCTTCCAGGCCTTCATACAAGATGAAGACAATCTTTTTTTTTGCATAGGTTTAATGACTTGCGTTTTTGGGAGTCCATATTGTTCTCTGAGTCTTCTATCAGGAGATATTTTTATGTAATTTTTAAGGTCAGGTTTAATTATATTTTTTAAAAATGAAAAGCCATAATTTTATATAATACTCTTGATTGTGTAGATTTCCTTTTTACCCTTTCTAAAATAATGATGTAAGAAGCATCCTTAAAAAATAAAAAAAGAGGCCCTACAAAGTCAGGCTTTCCTTGGACCCTCACAAAGCTGAGAGGAGTCATGTTGAGGAAGGCAAAATAGCACATAGGGCAGAACAGCAGCGCGTGTACTTGGCATGCGCGGGGCAGCTCCAGAACTCAGAAACTGGTGAAGTGCAGCAGATGTGAGTATTTGGACTCCAGGGTTTGTACTAAGCTGAGTGCCTGTGGCTGGTCCAGCTGCACAGCAGCCGCAGGGCATGCCAGCTTCAGGTGCCAGTCCCAGTGTAAGCAGGCACACTATCATGTGAGAGGGAGACATTAAAGCCTGTCTTATGACATG